TACAGCCGATTGGAAAAGGCTTCCGCTTGAGCTTAAAGCTGTTGTTTTACACCGCAGTCTACTTTTTTTTTTCCTTCCAAAACAAAGGTCTTTTAATATAAATATAACGGTTATTGCCAACAAAAAAAAAAAACTGTGGGTCCCTGAATCTCAGTATAAACGTGCTTGTGTAAATCAAGAAGGGGGAAAGAATATTCGAAATATTTTGAAATGCATTTAAATATGAATACTTGAAAATACATTAGTTTTATTTCTAACTATTTAAATAAGCATTAACTAATTATCATTTAAACAATATATAGCATACAATAGTTACAACCAGTTATTTTTAGCATTATTTTTTGTATTATTATTTATTATAGTATTTATTATTATTTTGAATTAGCTTTTTTTCTTTTTAATTTTAGTTTAAGTTTTAGTAATTTGATTGTGCCTTTTACTAGTTTGTGTTTTTTATATAATTTTTGTTTTCTTATTCTTTTTTTTATTTCAGTTTTAGGTTTAGTAATTTTAGTACTTAAACTTTTTTTCACTTAGCTGCCAATTAAATATTTATTATGTTTATTTAAGTTTAAAAAAATTTAATTTATATTTTTTCATCATATCTATATATATATATATATATATATATATATATATATATATATATATATATATATATATATATATATATATATATATGTATTCTTTTTTTTTTTCATGCAAAGTGTTAAGATGGTTCACATTTACTGTGTCCAGCATTCTGCAGTGTTTCAATAAGCAAGCTGTTCTAATCACAATATGGTGACTGCAATGCTGACATTACTAATCAAAGACATCCCTTAGTATTGAGTCATCCATTTTATTTCCACAAATAAATGTACTTCAGTATGTCTTCACATTTGATTATCACTACTTGGTGTTGTAAATATGGCATGCTGTGTATTTGTCAGAATGTCTATAGTGTATTTAAGGGTAATTAGCTAACATGAATTATGAAGCTGAATAAACAGCATACACAACATCAGCATCTTCATGAGACCAGTTTAGCACTAACTCAAAACACTTCGGCAAGTCCTGTCATGAATCATTTTTACGGTGTAGCCTGGTATTGATTTACCACCATCATTACATTATAATACTGCTGTGTACTAAACCATTCAGCAAATAAATTTCCCATCCTACAGTAGGTGCTTACATAGCTTTCTGTACACAACTGGATTTGTAAACACATTTCACGCAATGAGAGAACACGGAAATGAAATATAGACATGAGTAAGAATCTCGGATTTTTAAATCAATCTCAATAGACTGCAACAGAGCTTGCCCCCTTTTTCAGCGGCCCTGGTTCCGGAAGGTTTTTTTGTTTGTTTGTTTGGGTTTTTTTGGGGGTTTTTTCCCATTGGGATTTTAAAATAGTCTTTGTTAAAAGAGTTATAAGCCATGAACCAAGCCAATCAGCTACGAGGTGAATCACAACAAAACTTTGATTTTAAGCAAAAAATATTTTGGAAATCGGACAAAACGACAAAGGTACAAGACTGTGTGTGTGTACTTAACGGTTTTAGTGAGGAAAAAAACTACAATCCCATGAAGCATTGCAAACATCATAATCGAATTAAAAAACAATGGAGAAATCTAATCAACATAAATTAGTAGTTTTAAATGTAGTCACGCTTGTCTGAAGTATAAAATCATTGGTTACCCGTAAGCCATACGTTTACCCGTAAACATTCAAAATGTTTAACAAACACTATTCTTGTTCGGCTTCAGTTTGCAAATGCCGGGAATATTCTCCACAACAGAGCGAATTGCATCCCGTGTCTCCATATCCGCGGTCATTTTCGATTTCCCTAACCTAAAATACAATCTTAAACTCGGCGCTTAGGGTCTACGTCACGGCTTTCAGCCCGCACTCTGTTCGTTGATTTGCCGTCTGTTTTCAGGCCGGAGGAAAACTGAGAGATAGATCGCTATCTCAGACTAAGTACAGAAGCGAACTGAAATTGAGCGGAAGTACGAAGTCTGATGTAGTCAGGCTACTGTCTATAACTCACCTAAATCACCTTTCTGTAGGCTGTGGTTCCAGACTGCGGGGAAAATATAATTTCCATGTTCTAATTTGGCCTTAGAAAACCATTAAAATCTACATTTTATTTTCATATTAATTTGTGAATATTTTAAATGTTTAATAAAGGAGCAAAAAGTCATAAACAAAAATCTGAAATTTAGTCGATATTAATTTTTTTTGTGCAGCATTTGTGTACAGTTCAAATTTAAAAAAAATTGGTGTTCAACTTTTCGTTTTGCAATTACGGGTTAAATAAGGAAAAATGAATGGACACAAATGTACACTGACCGTTTGGACATAATACGAGACAGAGTTCTTTATTAAATTAATAAAAGAAACAATAATTACAGGAATACTGGATTCTAAACCTCAAAGAAATGCTACAATCAAAACCTTGTATAAGGACCTTGTAAAAAATAACTTGTATAAACAAGTTATTTGTTTATACAAAATACGATTTACTGCAATGCTTTTTCCCCCCTTAGTTGATCAGAAAAAAAGTGAATGTTTCTTACTTGTTCAGACGTTATTTTCCGTTGAAAATTCTAATATTGGTCAGACTTCCAAAGAGTATAATGTGTGATTCTGAATGCCAGTATCCACACCGGCGCGGTGATTGACAGCCGCACTCACCTCAAAACATTGGATTTATCGGCGCTGTTTCATGCCGATGTACAACCCACGTAAATTGATAATTCCGCAAATGACTGCAATTGCAGTTTTCGAACAGAGATGGCGACAAAGAGGAAAAGCCACGGACTGCAGCTTTAATAACAATAAAAAAATATTTATTACGGTAGAAGACTGTGGCGTTGCAATCAGATGATTGGTGTTGCTATAGCCCCAGGGTCATTTTCGGTTTCGGTTTTTGGCCAAGTGCATCCAGATTTTTCGGTTTCAGTTTTGGCCCAGAATTTTCATTTCGGTGCATCCCTAGTTGCACTATAGACCTGTTAGCTACACTGTAAAACAAAATGATTTTTTTAAAGTTCTAAATAAAGATTATTGGAAGAAAATACTATTTAAGTTTTTCTACTTCAAAATGTCACATTTAATTCAATGTGCTGCTTGTTTTTTTTGTTTTTTTTTGTAATGATTTGTGAAAACTTTTTCAAATGAAATCCTGGCTATCACCTATCAAGGTGGATTCACCTAGTAGACAGTTAACCCCACTCTCACTCCAGCAGAGAGAGAAGATTATGCCACCCGGCTGCCAGGAACTCAGTTTATGCCTTCTAGTCCTGCAGATAGACCATTTAGAACTCCCTCAGAGACATTAAACTGATCTCATATGCCTGTCTGAGCTTCATTCAGACCATGGGATTAGAGACCACCCCCAAAGATCTGGCAGAAACTAAGATATGCTTAAAAAATATTCTTGTCACATACCGTAGTGATCTGGCCAGGATTTAGCCAGGGGTGAAGTTGTTTTTCCTTTTTTTTTACCTTGTAAAATTGGAATTTGTGAGTGGAGATATCTCAGTCCAGCATTTAAAGAATAAAATCAAATATCCGTTATGCTCTTTCTCTTAAATATATATTTGTTTGCCCTTTTGACAATATCTGCAGATCCAAAGGGTTCACAGGATCTTGCCTTTATATTTCTGTTTGTTGCAATCTTGACAGCCTTTCATCACGATGGGTTTCGCCTCCCTCACAGCTTAAACAATTAAACCGTGCATTTGTTTTTGTTTATGTGTTTTTATCAAAGCAGCTTTTCCTGTTCCACCACACATCGAACTGCTATTTTCCCTGGAACTTTTTTCACACACCATGTCTTGTTGTGTACTGCTTAGACAAATTTGGACAAATTGTTGTTTTCAGGGTTTATTGTTATTATTATTATTATTATTGGTTTAAGTGCAATTACAATGGCGGCTGAGTGCTCTCATCACCATTAATCCCTGACAATTAACATGCATGTATTACTTTAACATACTGGCAACTTTCTGAAAGTGAGATTAATGCGCTGCTGGTGAGTTGTATTGTGGTGCTCCTTATCTCGTTTCAGCACATTTCACTTAGCTGAGTGCAGTCAGAGAGCAGTGTATCAAACAGACTAGACCACCGACCACTAAGCATCAACGTGCCGTGTGCATTGAGAAGCTACAGTACATGCCGGCCAGTATTTGTAATGCATTTCGGATTAAGAAAATGTTCAGTGCTCCACAGAAATGAGATTTTTTGAACGGGTACACTTGATAAACTCATAATGGATCTCCATTTGAGCATGTGATTTCCATTAGTTTCTCTGAATTATTTAGCAGCACAGATACAAAATATTCAGTTCCTGAGTGAAATTCTCTCTGATACTCCGATAATTATGTTCTTGTTGACTGATAACTGATCATGACTGATGTTAATTTTCTGTAATGTTTTGTCTATGTGCACTACCATTCAAATTTGATCAACATTGAAAACAGAAAACAGTTATTTTAAATTGTAATAATATTTGACAATATTACTGTTTTTACTGTATTTTTTATTAAATAAATGCAGCCTTGGTGAGCATGAGTAACTTCTTTCTAAAACATTTTTTTTTTTTTTAAATACCGACCCCAAACTTTTGGATGGTAAAAAAAAATAAAAAAAATAAAAATAAAACACTTTAAACTAAAATCAATCATTTTAAATGTTAGAAGTGAATTTAGGCACCACAACATTATATGTACAGTTTGAAAATTGTATATTCATTTTTAAATTTGCTAAATATTTACATTAACTATGGCCATGTTACACTAACATCTGAGAACAAGAAATTGTCAAAAATATAATATATATATATATATATATAATTTGAAACCAATTGTGTGCTTTGTTATGTTTCTCTAAAATAATTGGTTTGGTTTTTAGTTTTATAATACAAAGACACATTTTAAACATGGCATTTTAAGTGTACTTAAAGTTATTGAGGATATTTGCATTCACATATACGTGTATGTTTCCACAGGTCTCTCTCTGGCCGCATCGTGGGTGGCGTGTGGTGGTTCTTCACTTTAATCATCATCTCCTCATACACAGCCAACCTAGCTGCTTTTCTCACAGTGGAGAGGATGGTGTCCCCCATCGAGAGTGCAGAGGATCTGGCCAAACAGACTGAGATTGCTTATGGGACTCTAGACGCCGGCTCCACCAAGGAGTTTTTTAGGGTGAGAGGTGCCATGAATGAGGGGAAATGTGGGAAATCAGATGGGCCAGTCTGTTGTGATTGGTTTACCACTCACAGCGTGTAGTGAAATGACCATTACCATAACTGAATTTCAGCTCCAGAGGCTTCCTCAGCACATCAGTTTTATCATATCAATATGAGCCCGAGTCCTCATTCTTTTGAAATGCTTGCAACGTGGACTTGCTTTCGCAGCGCAGAAAACAGCATATTCTCAACATGTTGACAACACACTTCCAAACCTCAGCTACAACTGCAGTGTTTGAGAGCGGCTCAAAGTAGACGTTGTTTTGGAAAGCCATTGAAGATCATAGACTGGCATTATGCTAATTTGCTACAAACCTATGTAGGTTTGTTTAGGAAGTAAAGCTAGACTCTTTCAGGCAGTTCAGAATCGGTTCGTTCTTTTGGGAAACGATAACTCCATTTATCATGCACTTTGATCTTTGAAACGTTTTAGATGTTTACATTCACAAACAGCTATATTACATGAGATGTAATTCAAAACAATTTCAAAACAAGTGCACGTTACCACTTTTTACAGTGTGCAAATGCATAATATTTCACTTTCTTTCCTCTTTTAGAGGTCAAAGATTGCGGTATTTGAGAAGATGTGGTCCTATATGAAATCAGCAGACCCTTCAGTGTTTGTGAAAACCACAGATGAAGGAGTTATACGGGTGAGGAAGTCCAAGGGGAAGTATGCCTATCTGCTGGAGTCTACCATGAACGAGTACATCGAGCAGCGCAAACCCTGTGACACTATGAAGGTCGGAGGTAACCTGGACTCCAAAGGCTACGGCATCGCCACCCCCAAAGGATCACCTCTCAGGTAAAGCCAGCTGTCCACTGTATGCTGACTGTATTTGACCATTATGAAAATAACATCAGATGGTGGTTCAGTTGTGGTAGAGGCTGGATACAGTACTAAAGGTGTTATGCTCACCTTGGCTAAGTTTTACATCTAAGTTTACATCATGTACTAGTTAAATTAAAAAAAAGAAAAGAGAAACAGATGGGAATTCATTAAAATAAGTATGCCTATCATGTCACAGCACAAACATAGCCAAATAAATAAATAGATATTTGCATGTTGCAATTCCCAATTTTGCTAGCCAGTTCTGAATAGATTATGAAGGACTCAAACTAATACAATCTGCTATACTTTACTGAAACGGTATAGCATCACTCCCTCACTGCAGTCCAGGCACCTAAATCAGCTCTTGAAAATGCCAAGTGTGCCTGAGTACACTGCCTAATCTATATGTGGAACTATATGTGCTCTTCTCCATCATTTAATGATTTTTTTGCTGACATGATTGCAGGAAAATATTGCTGAGTTTTGCAAATAAGACGCATGCATAGCAAAACAACAGGTTTGTGCTGAGAATTTCAGTGACTTAATTTAATACTCGCTGCACAGCACAAAAAGAAAATGTAAAATTAGTGCCTGGATTGTGGGTGGTTTGTGAATAAGGTGGAGGTTTTTGCCAAATTGGTGTGGCTTCAGTGAACTCATCTAGTTTCTCTTTTGAAGGACTTTTTAATGATGTTATACATGATCATTTGAACCAAGGGCGAGGGTAGAAGTACTGTGCTAAGCAGCCTCTGCTATAACAGAACATCCTGTTGTGTGGGTGAACATGTGTGTGTGTGGAGCTGTTCAAAATCCCGCCTCTACCTCATGTAGCTTGAAGGGGTTTTCAACACACTCCACCAGAAGTGCTTGCATAAGAAATGGCAGGAAAATGACGCGCCCTCTTCAGAAGCTCTTTAGGAAACACGTGTGTTCGCCATCCTTTCATTAAACAGCAGCGCCGCTTGGCAGAGCCCATTGAGACACCACAGACATTATTCAAGACAGGCACTTTGAAGCTATAGGTCTACTGGATGCTAATTTCAGTTTCTCTCCTTCATTCCAAATTACGAAAGCTCTATTCTCACCGAGTGACTTGTGCATGAAAGAAATTGGGCTATCAGTTGTTAGTCTTATGCAAGCCACTTCTAAAGATGAATGTCGACATTAACATGTTTCTTTTTTATTCTCTGCAATATAAGGTGAACAGTTATTTCAATTGTACACCACCATCATTAACGTCACAATTATTGTGCTTGAATGTACCCATCTGACTAATACAGCATGGCCCCCATGATATTACATTCATTGCAGTGCAAAGGGCCTCTCAAGGGCAATTTGGAGCTGTTGAAATAACCTCAATAACTCCATCTCTCTCTAATAAGATAAGCTCCTTGGGGAAACGACCTCATAGCAATTGTACAGTCGTTTTTTGGGTCACCTTATAGCAAAGCGAACAGGGGTAGAGGGTGGATGGAGTGGGAAAGAGAGAGACATCAGATACAAGATGTAAATGACTGACTTCCATCTTGCCACCTAGGGCAGGACTCGAATTAAATTTAATACTAGCTAGCCATTACATTGACAGCAAGATTGAAAGAGGCTCGGAAATGGATTCATAAATGTGTTCCTCTGTCTGTTGAGTTACCAGCTGTGCGGTGTATATCTGATTTTGAGAGAGAGCAACTCCCTTACTGACGCGTTTACATGAGCCGGTAGATTCTATATGAGCACCTACTGCATTGTTTCAACATGTAAAAGACAATGGGAGATTTTGCTCTCTCTGTTAAAATCAATAAACACTGAATTGAGCATTTAGATTGTTTGTGATTTGCTGAACTAACCATGTGGTGCAGTTGTCAAAATGTAATAATGATCCTGTGTATCTTTACTGAATTTAGCATTTTATGGCTTTATTTACAATCAATCAATTGTATTATTTTATAGACATCTGGCATGGAAGCTTGTTTACGCCTCAGAATAAAACAATTTAAAAGATAATTGTGACTTCTTATCTCACAATTCTGACTTTATAACTCGTAATTGCGAGTTTATATCTCGCAATTCTGACTTTATAACTTGAATTGCAAGTTTATATCACGCAATTCTGAGAAAAAAAGGCAGAATTGTGACATAAAAAGTAACAATTACCTTTTTGTATTTTTTATTCAGTAGCGGAAACAAAGTTCCATACTGATCAGATCTTGTTAGGTGCAAAAACAGTTTTTGTTTTTTTACGTCTATAAATCTATAAAAAATATATATATATATTAATTCAAATTAATCCTCTAATCTGTGACTTTTCATTGAGATTTTAATTAAAAATCACTTTTCAAATTGACAAATATTTAAAACTGCTTACATAAGTTTTTTAAATGTAGTTAAAAGAAACAATGAATAAAAAATTATAATTTTTAAATGCAACATTGCGACTGAATTATTCTGATCAAAGCCTTTAATAGGGATCATTTTTACACCTTACTTTTTTATATCTTATGGTCTGCTAGTCTCATCTTGCTTTAATGATTAATTTCTTAACAAAGATGTTAATTGATCTTTTGAACTTGTTTTACCTTGTACTTCACTTTGTGTTTTATAGGTTAATTTACTGACTGATGGAATAATCAGTTGTTTTGGTGCATTTTGACAGCTGCTCAACATTTTCCTTGTCTTATCTCAAACTGATACCTTAAATCGGTTTGTTTTAGTCAGGATGTGACAGCCCTAAAGATTGATGTGTGCGCCCTTTTATCTCTATTCATCTGTGCCATTCTTTGAGTTTAGTCAATGAAATCATCTCACCCAAAGCACTGCCACCTCCTGAAGCAAATGCTCATCAAACTGAATGTAGCTGTTTGTTTCTCATTCCTGAGACACTCTCTGACTTCTTTCTGTCTCGTACTTCTGTGATTAGAAAGAATTCCTGGGTTTTATCATGCCAAAGAATCACTCCCTATACAGGCAGAGGTGCAGACGACATTTGCTCACAACGCAGATCGGCAAGCCGATTCTGTGGGTCGTGACTCGTGAGGATATGTATATTTGTGCCTTTGAACTGTATGGGTTGTTTAAGACCTGAGGATGGAGAAGATGAAAAGAGAGACACGCTTCAGATGTGTTTCTTGATATCAGTCATGGGGGGCGGGGGGTTAAAATCAAAAATTCCATTTTTATCATAGTCTACTCTCTCATGTTATGTATAATGGTCTTGCTACTATGAAACACAAAAAGAGAAGATTAGCAGAATGTTCATGCTGCTCCTTTCCAAACCATGAAAGTGAATGGTGATCCAGTTCCAAAAATGACAAAAAGCACCATAAAAGTAGTCCATACTTTTAAGTAGACCGCATAAACTTTTCTGCTGCAGCTCTTAAATCTTATATTTACTTTACATTTGTGTATTTTAAAATGTGGTGCATTGCATTGTTTGTGAAATGAACTAGCCAGTCAGTTTTCCAAAATTGTAGTAACTTGACCAAAAATTGATGCACCTCTTGATGGAAATAAATATTGTGATGCTATTTCCATCATGAGGTGCATACATTTTTGGTCAAGATCTTGTATTGACAGTCCAAGAGTCAAGCACTCTGTAAAGTCTACTGCAGGACATCCCAGAGTCCTTCAATGAATTTAAGGTCTGGACTCAGAGGTGCCAATTTATATGTGAAAATGATTCTTCATGCTCCCTCCTAAACATTCTTTGACAATTTGAGCCTGATGAATCTTGACATTATCATCCTGGAATATGGCCATGATATGTCTTCCTACGTGGTTGTTTAAGAAATGAAAAGCTACACACTCCATCAATTAGAGTTAAAAAAACTGTTGCCAAACATATAACATGCTAGAAACATAATAATCACAGCAATAATAATCCAGTCATAGACTCTTAAGTATTTGCCTATTTATATCCAAACAGCGACTTTTTTGGGGGGGGGTGGAGGGGAGCAGTATATATATGTGTGTGTGTGTGTGTGTGTGTATGTATACACTCACCTAAAGGATTATTAGGAACACCTGTTCAATTTCTCATTAATGCAATTATCTAATCAACCAATCACATGGCAGTTGCTTCAATGCATTTAGGGGTGTGGTCCTGGTCAAGACAATCTCCTGAACTCCAAACTGAATGTCAGAATGGGAAAGAAAGGTGATTTAACCTCTTAACCAGCGCCCCATTTTTTGAGAATTTTCTGAAAATGACATACCCAAATACAAATGTCTGTAGCTCTTAAACCCTATGGTCCACATTCATAACTCTGATCTTTTTTTAAACTAGACACTTGAAACTTTGTTACCCAAGAGTCATTATTACTCAAAGTAGCATAGGAACAGAGTAAAACAAGGTAAAATTTACATGAATGTGACTCACGATTTCTTTTAATTAACTTCACTTAGGGAAAAAATGATCAGACTTTTATGTTAAGGGCCTGAAAACACCATAAAGATAAAATTGAATGTCTGACCATGTTTAGATTCAAATTTGAGGATGATACTCGCAAAAATGTAGTTTCTGTAAGCTTTTATTCAAGAAAAGTATAGGCGTCCTTTCCAAAATGCAATTTGGAGACTCCAAATGGACACCTGGCACCCAAACACTTTACATAGGGAGTAAACACTATAGGTCTGCAACAACAATTCAGAACTGTTATGCCCTTCAAACCACACAAGAAAAAAACGATTTCAGCACAACATTTGATCATTTTACCAAAATTATCTTTATTTTGAACAATTCTAATAGCAAAAACAGTGATTTCTCACTACATGTATAGACATTGCAGAAGTGTTCATTTTCCAACTAATGTATAAAATATATAAAAAGAAAAACATAAATGTTTTAGAACATTTGTAATTACAAACGTGGTTTTTACCCAAATAAATTGCAATAAACTGATACTTATAATGAATATCCTATTACTTCCTGTTGCTCTTCGTCATTTTCTGCAAAAAAACCTTCAAATCTCTTCTGTAGTCGACGATCCATGATACAGATGCTCAGATATAAGCTTTAGAGTAAATCCGTGCATTTATGCAAGCTCCATGTGTCAAAACATCGCGTTTATGTGTCTGTTTACATTCTGGTCGGCTGACTATGTGTGTGCGTGCTGCGCGCGTGGCGAAAGCGCACATGTGAATGAAAACTTTGCGCAGTTGAATTTGACGAATGTGCTTGCATGAACTGTCTATCACTGCAATCGATTTTAGTTGGCTAATACTCCCATCAATCAAAACGTAGCTCAAAGGACATTGGATAGCATTATCCAGGCTTTTATCCAGTCGAAAGCCCAGCTGCGCGATGGACAGCGCGCTCAGCCTGTCAGGGACTCTCTTACTGTTTTGGTCTGTAACAGAGCCTGTGATTGAACGAGAGAGAAGTAGGATGTATCATTCGATCCGGAAGAGTCTAAACTGCGGGGGTGAGATGGCTTTTGAGTGTTGGAATATGGATTAGAATCGATATTTCTTTGAAAATGAACATGATGCGAACTCTATCTCGAAAACGCTCATGAAAACAAAGGAGGATATTTCATTTTTTTTCCCCTATTTTTCGTTGTTTTGGATTAAAAAGTGGGATGCATTTTGAAGAGTGGACCCTTACATTGAAATGTATGCTGTTGTTTCTTGGATTCTTCCGAACTGATCTGAACCATACGAGATGAAAGATGAGTATAGCGGTTCATTTTGCTCATTTTCAAATGAGCAGTCCTTTTGCATTTTATTTAACCCTTTCCTCTCTGGTGTATTGATTGCAAAAACAAGTCTAGAACATGGTTCTTGAGTGTTTTAGCTTTCAAATGATGCATAGTTTATGATAGTCAGATGAATATTTGTTATAAAACAAAGCTTAAAAAAGGTAATAAAAGTATAGCCACGCCCTCGACGGCCCGCTCGCGGGCCGATGCGGGTTAAGAAGTTAAGCAATTTTGAGCGTGGCATGGTAGTTGGTGCCAGACGGGCCGGTTTGAGTATTTCACAATCTGCTCAGTTACTGGGATTTTCACGCACAACCATTTCTAGGGTCTACAAAGAATGGTGTAAACAGGGAAAAACATCCAGTATGCGGAATTCCTGTGGGCGAAAATGCCTTGTTGATGCTAGAGGTCAGAGGAGAATGGGCCGACTGATTCAAGCTGATAGAAGAGCAACTTTGACTGAAATAACCACTCGTTACAACCGAGGTATGCAGCAAAGCATTTGTGAAGCCACAACACGCACAACCTTGAGGCGGATGGGCTACAACAGCAGAAGACCCCACCTGGTACCACTCATCTCCACTACAAATAGGAAAAAGAGGCTACAATTTGCAAGAGCTCACCAAAATTGGACAGTTGAAGACTGGAAAAATGTTGCCTGGTCTGATGAGTCTCGATTTCTGTTGAGACATTCAGATGGTAGAGTCAGAATTTGGTGTAAACAGAATGAGAACATGGATCCATCATGCCTTGTTACCACTGTGCAGGCTGGTGGTGGTGGTGTAATGGTGTGGGGGATGTTTTCTTGGTACACTTTAGGCCCCTTAGTGGCAATTGGGCATCGTTTAAATGCCACGGCCTACCTGAGCATTGTTTCTGACCATGTCCATCCCTTTATGGCCACCATGTACCCATCCTCTGATGGCTACTTCCAGCAGGATAATGCACCATGTCACAAAGCTCGCATTTCAAATTGGTTTCTTGAACATGACAATGAGTTCACTGTACTAAAATGGCCCCCACAGTCACCAGATCTCAACCCTATAGAGCATATTTGGGATGTGGTGGAACGGGAGCTTCATGCCCTGGATGTGCATCCCACAAATCTCCATCAACTGCAAGATGCTATCCTATCAATATGGGCCAACATTTCAAAAGAATGCTTTCAGTACCTTGTTGAATCAATGCCATGTAGAATTAAGGCAGTTCTGAAGGCGAAAGGGGGTCAAACAAAGTATTAGTATGGTGTTCCTAATAATCCTTTAGGTGAGTGTATATGGACACATACTGTATTATATATATATTACTCACAAATATATACACTGTTACTACTGTTATGGCCCTTTTTTGTTGTTTTTATAGTTTGACAGCCCTTGGTCACCATTCACTTTCTCTGGAATAAGCAATTTCATGAAAGTATTCTGTTTGGGGGAAAAAAGAAAGAAAAGGAAAGAAACAATTTGGTTTGAGGGTGAGAAATTATGACAGAATTAACTCACTTTAAGAATTTGTCTAATGTCTTTAGTCTGTTGTTTTAGATTCACATTGTTACAATTCCCTAAAAGGGAAGAACCAAATGCAAACAGCAAAAACTAAGGACATCTAAGGACATCTTTTTTCTTCTCCTCTGTCTGAAGAAGTCTTGTTCTTTTGCTTTATAAAACCTGTCTTTCACAAAGGCCACTAACAAAAGCATTGTTCTCCATTAAAACACGTTAACATACTTTATATACAGACTCAGGGCAAAACCACTGCAAATGCCATGCATTTAACATTTCAACCTACATAGAGCAGTGGCTGTTGTGTTCAAACCAGTTTAAGTCTGTTCTCCCATCACACTGTCTCTGAAATGGTTTATCTGGGCTGACACTGACCAAAATATTATTTCATTATCGTTTCAAGAAACCCAGTAAACCTGGCAGTGTTAAAACTGAATGAACAAGGCCTGTTGGACAAATTGAAAAACAAATGGTGGTACGACAAGGGAGAGTGTGGCAGCGGAGGAGGTGATTCCAAGGTCAGCCCCAATGTGACAAACCCAACGGGTAAAACCACCACTACCATGGGGGGTAACCGGCAACTCACGCCGACCAAACACTCTAGACCAAAACAATCTGATCTAAATTGAGCTTACTATGAGCAAATTTAGTTTGATTAATAGCAAGTCAAGTTTTGATCAAATTATGGCTTATCATGGCAAGTAGTCAATAATAGCCAACCGCATTCAAGTTATTCCAGACGGAGTGTTTGCGGTCTGCCGGTTACCCAAAGTGATATAATAATGCACATCTTGCAGCAGGGAGCAAGGAAGCATCGCTAGATGGAGTATTAACCCATATCACTTTTACAATGAACTACCAACATGTTTCTGATATGTGTGCACTCAATTTAAAAAAAAAACACACACAACAGTTGAGTTGATATTGATGGGTATGTGTTTAATGTGTGCTGAATAACATAAAATAACATGGATAATGTTATTTATGTTATTTCCCTGGTTGAAGAATCCCAGTTAACCTAGCGGTGTTGAAACTCAGTGAGCAAGCCGTCTTAGACAAACTGAAAAACAAATGGTGGTACGATAAGGGGGAGTGTGGAAGCAAGGACTCCGGAAGAAAGGTCAGTTCACACATTTGGTCCTGCTCTGTTCCCCTCAGTTTAGCCTTCCCAGAACCCTCTCAGAAGGTTCAGTAAGGAATCTGGACATGGGCGGCTCTTACTCTCTCTCCAGAGTTGTATTCTTTGATTTGGGCTGGCAGAGGACAAATTAAAAGGCTTTTGAATATATTTGATGCATGATTTAAATTGAAACTGCTGGTATTTTCAATGACTTTTAAAACACTTGTGTTCGCATTAGAATATTTATATACTACTTACTGATTTACAGGTAGCAAGCAAATAAGTAGACATGCTAGTACTGAAGTATACAAAATTATGTCCTCTTCCTTATGCATGTGACTGGTGTCCAGTTACCAATTTGGTAGTAGACACTGACATTTTGCATTTTTAATTAAATTTTGTGTAAAAGCATCTTACCTTTTGACAGCAGGTAAAAAAAAAAAATCAAAAACAGCTTTTTTTTTCTTGTTCATTCATCACACTGGAAATGGAAAGTCGAAAATTGTGTGCATTTCTTTGTGGTATTGCAGTTTGCACCCTGCAGTGTTATCCATTACCGATCAAAAGATTGGTGTTGGAAAGAATGAAAAATGTTTTTGAAATAAGTCTCTTACGCTCCAAGGCTGCATTTATTTGTTTAAAAATACAGTAAAAACAGTGATAATGAAGATGTTTTAAGAGTAGTATATGTTAGTGTACAATTCCGAACATTTCCGACCATTATTTTTGTCCTGTCAGAAATGACAAATTTGTGTATATGTAATAAATTAGATTCTAAGATTAAATAAATTAGATTAAATTGTCAGCATATTCCTTTTTGTTTTTTAATGCTGACAGGTTTCTTCCTATTTTTTTAATAAGTCAGGGAAATGTTGTATTTAACAATTATAATATATAATATGATTTTTATATTATTAATTCAATTGAAAGTAATAGTATGTCTAGCTCCAGGAGTCGTGTGGTGAAAAGGCCATTATTATAGACTGGATGACTCGCTGTATGATACACACACTTTGTTTAAAATAGCCTGGTGGTCTGAATGGAGCTCTGGAGAGAGACTCTGATCATCCGTAAGAGTCAAGCCCCCTTGTGGTTCTCAGCCTCTGTGTTCTTCCTTCTGTCTGCCCTTGGAGTGTGCATGTATTTGGATGCAAACCCAGTGGACAGCTGTCTGTGCTGTCATAGGCCCCGGCCGCCACACACCCCCACCGCACCAAACCCACCTGCATGGCACACACACACCACATCACACCTCCCTTAGATTGCCTTTCGGTAACACTTTACAATGAGGTTTCATCAGTTAACATTAGTTAGCTACATTAGTTAACGTGAACTAATAAGGAACTGCACTTCTACAACATGTATTAATCTTTGTTAATGTTAATTTCAACATTTACTAATACATTATTAAAATCAAAAGTTGTATATGTTAGCATTACTTAATGCACTGTGAATTAACATGACAATGAACAAGCTGTATTTTTTATTAACTAACATTAACAAAGATTATTAAATACTGTAAAAAATGTATTGATCATAGTTAGTTCATGTTAGTTAACTAATGTTAACAAATGAAACCTTACTGTAAAGTGTTACCTGCCTTTAGAGAACCGGTTCCACACCAATTAAGCTCATTAGATTGCTATTGTCCTTATAAAGAAAATGATCACCTTTGAACAACTACAAATCCAAATCTCCTTAGATTCATGGCCTGGGCTGCATGGGTGCCAACCACTAATATAAACATTTGCAGCTGTTATACTGTATGTGTATGTTTTAAAAGATTGTAATTTATGGAGATGCTAATGGGATATATAAATAAGTATTAAATTAGTCAAAGGTGAACACAGACTGCCTGTGTTACTGCATGAATGCATGTTCCTAAGGCCTAAATTACAATTTGTGCCATGTTTTAAGATTTATGCTAAATCTTTATATATTTTAAACCTATCATTTAACGGTTATTATTTATTATATTATTATTAGTTATGTTGTGTATATAATTAATATCAATAGTATTAACATTTATTGAATTAGTTAATATTATAATAGTATTTATTTTAATATAATAATATATTTATATTAGTTACTAATATAATAGGATGTTTCATAATGACTATTATTATTGATTTATGAGTATCATTTAGCAATAATGCAAGATATCAGTTCAACAGTCAAAACAGAAACTAAATCTTTATATTAATATATTAATGATATTATATAGTCAGGTCATGTCTGAGCAGGAAACATTTTAAGCAAACTGGCAACATTGTTCTATCTAGACAGTTCTTATTTTAGCTTTTATATTCAATGTCTATGTTTAGATGTTTGGTGATGAATGCATAAAAGTGTATATGTAATTTACAGGAATGCATGTATTGTCTTTGTCCATGTGAATTTGTTATCGGTGTGTGCAGTAACTCTCATCTAAGACGCTGTTCCTTCTCCTGTAGGACAAGACCAGTGCTCTTAGCCTCAGCAATGTGGCTGGGGTCTTCTACATTCTGATCGGTGGTCTTGGTCTGGCCATGCTGGTGGCCCTGGTGGAGTTCTGCTACAAGTCCAGAACAGAGTCCCGCAGAATGAAGGTGTCTGCGCGGGCCACTCAGGCCTTTCACTGCACCGCCTTAGACAGCAGCTACACTGAGCTGCAGAGTTACGGCCTGTACGGTCCCGACACTGTTAAGATATAAAGCACTCTGGGGTAGGAACCTCAAGTACCGCGGAAAACTAGGCCACATCCTGCCCACATAGTACCTAAGCTGCCCCCCATCTAACCGTCACCAGAATCAAAGCTTCTGCTGCCCACTTTCAATATCATACTTTTTTCCACAAGCTCTTCTTTTTCTGTTTCTCTTACGCTGTTGTTTTAAATCTAGGCCTGTCAAAAAAATGTAAATAAAAAAAATTGATAATTGATAATTCTACAAGAATTGCTATGATTATTCAACAATATTAATCAAAATTAATTGTATACATCAATATTTGCTGGGAAATATCTCTATTTTATTCATTTTTATTTAATAGTATCTTTCTTTATTTTAATATTTTAAAAAATTGTTGTTTTAGTTATTATGTTTAATTTATTTGTTTTTTTTTATCATTTATTTTTAATTGTTGGCGTATGTAAACATGCAGACAACATTTATCTTGACAGCCCTATTTAAAACTTCTAATCTAATCTCTCTTTATCTCTTTCTCTCCCTCTATTTCCTGCTCCCCTCAGTTTCCCGTTGGCTGCTAGCCTCTCTGTCCATAGACTAGAGCTTTGTTTATATGCATCGTGTCTCTGTTCATTCATGAAACAGAGCAAGTGTTCCCCGGAGACACTGCAGGTCTCTGTTTTCCACCATGACTCCGAAAATAGTCAGTCTAGATTTATGATTATGCATTCATACATTAAGACCCAAGTCAGATCTTACCTAATGTACTTTTGCTAATGCATAGTTGATTAAAAGTATCTATCAGGTAATAATAATAATTTATTTTATTCAGGCCAAACTGACAAATCAAAGAAGCACCATTGCAAAAAAAAAAAAGGTCCTTGCTGAACGTAACTCGTTGAATATACAGATACCTCAGTATGATTTTTGTAATAAGTATCTTTATGACAGGCAATTACCCAAAGTAGGATTTGTAGCAAGTTTAGCTGGGTATTACACACTCGTGTAATGCTATAATAGCACAGATTAATATAGATTTGCTTTGTTAATTCAATTGACAGGAGTCACATTTCACAGCTGTCCATTTTTCATATTAGGCGAGCAGGAATCTGAGTCATTATGGGCAAACTAATTAGTCTGCATCAGGCGTATAGCTTCATCCCCCAACGCGTTGAAGTGTAGGGCAATGAAATCATTCCTAGATTGGAAAAATGCGATTTAAAGGGACACATCATTAGCCTTGGTTTCAGGCCCACTGGCTGTGACTACAATACCGGATTGCTCTTCACAACAGCAGCAATAAACCGATGACATTTCTCACTTCCCCACCACCGTAGCAAATTAAGCTCGTGTTACACGCCTATCAAGACTGTTTATTGTCTACCCACATGTCAGAGATGCTTTAGAGTGTCAGCTTTGGTTTTGAGGGCCTAAATACGGTGGTCCTTGGGGGCACAATGTAACGACAGCAGCAAAGCAATTAAAAATTGACAACACAACAGCATTAGCCCACAACACATCTTTAATGCAAATAAGGGTCGTTCACATAGCGAATCATTTTGAACAGAGTGCTCAGTACAGTTATGGGTAGCACAGCATGGAATTGCAACACAGGCTCATGAGAAACAACGTGAAATTTACAGCAATATTCTGTATTTTGAATCAAACCACCGCGCGACCCCAGAATGCATTGCAGTTTACAGCAATATGCTGTATTATTAGAAAACAGCCAGCTGCTGTAAAATAATGCTGTAATTTTTACAGCAATTCATTACAGTGTATGGTGCTAAAAGGTTAATGGTCTATCGCGTTTGAAAATAGCGTGGCACCTTTACTAAACCTAACCGATAGTGTTAACAATAGCAAACGAGAGATAAAAATGTCATTGTATCTTGCTTCTACATGTCTTTGAGCTCTATTATTGTTTCACGGGACTCGTACCCGAGTGCTCCGCATCGCAAGAGCAATGCTGTCCCAGGTGAGCGACCAAGCCAGTTTATTACCTTCAAAAAACCTATATGGAGCTCATTATGTGATGCAAACATAAAACAATATTAGTTTACAAATCATGCAGTGTTTTGAGGTCATAACATGTCCAAGGAATCTTTATTAATCCGGCCCACATCTGGACCGTGTGGATTCTATTTGTACCAGATATGAGCCGGATCTGGGCCGACACTAAAGGGGCTTTCGCCCCTTTCTAGGAACTTAGTTCTAGGAACTTGCCACCAGGGTGGTTCCCCGAGAACTAATGGTTCCCTTAGGAATGTTTTCCTGGTTGCATTCGCACCGCCAGTAACAACTCTGAAGTGACGTAAGCCGTGCTTGTTGTTGTGACTTTTATTTCGACGGCACGGCGGACCTTTATTTTGATGGTGCTGAGAACGCCGGCCAGCCAGAGCCACACAGTGCTCGCATTCTCCTTGTTCATTAGTTTACAATCTGTCTAACAGTCCTTTCTAATACTTTATTAGACATAACTGTTATACATAGAAAGTAGACAGGTATTAGCGTATGCCGTGGGGTTGATGTTGATGTCCAGTGTTGCTAGCTGAGCAGAAATACATAATCATGTCTCGCTTGGTCCCCTCAAAGTTGCGTTGGATTATCTCTTTAGTGTAAAGGTTAAGAGGCCCATCTTTCACTGTTTTCCGTGATCATAGAGTTAGTTTCTGGAGTAAATAGGCTATAATCTGTGTTTACACAGCTTTTTCTTTTTTTATGGCGGGTGCTGGTGTTTCGTGTGGGTTCGACCAATCAACGTACACTAACGCCACGGATAGTTCCTAAAGTGCTGGATTAGACACTACTCTGAAATAGGAGCTAAAATTAGTTCCTTCAAAAGGAGTTCCTACTAAAATCGATCCTAGTTCCTGCGGTGCTAACACACCAAAATCCGGGTTCTGCCGCCAATAGTTCTAGGAAAAGGTTCTTCCGGTACGAAAGCCCCTTATGTTGCTGTCTGGGGTTCATTTTAACTGAAGTTAATTGTATGTATAGGTATGAGTTTTGCATAAATGTACAGTGTGTTGTGGAATTGGTAGGTTTTCAAGTGGAATAGAGTGTTACTATTGTTATTTATTATAGCAATATGGCTAATATTGGATTGTTTCCTGAAATGCATAATTATCAGAAAAGTTTCATTAGTGTTTCATCTTTTTGCTTTGCTAAAGGCGTTGTGTCGTGCCCTCCAGGCCATCATGCTGATCAATTAAGTCAGGAAACCCAAAAGATGGAAATCTGTTGGCATAGACCTCACAAATGTTGTCTAACTAATTATCCAGTCATCACATGACAAAACATTTTATGTGCATACTCCATTAGGCAGATGCTTAAATCATCATTCTACTAAAATTGAGCATCTTTCAAACATTTCCATTTTCCTGTCTAACGCTGTTGTATCTCCATCCCAGCAATCCATCAACGATGCCATGCGCTGCTCCACGCTGACCAGGATGAGTGGGAACGGTAGCGGTGGGGAGAACGGGCGGATCGTCACACATGACTTCCCCAAAGCTGTGCAGACGCTGCCGTGCATGAGCCACGCGGCCAGCATGGGCCTGGGAGCCTCTGGCATGTGACCATCTTGACGGAGCGGCACGCGTCACATGTAACGCACGGACCTCCCGTTCACCTGCCGTCTGCCCCTATGTCTGTCTGCCTGCAACAGACGCACCGTACTGCCAAAATGCACTCGAAACTCTTCTCAGTGAATAGCCACCAATAAAACTCTTTTCTAAAGGAAGACGAAACATTTTAAAAGAGGGGGGGGGGGGGGGGTGTGCTGCAATAACAAGCCTGTGGGATTTTTTTGGGGGGGAAAGTGTTCGTTTATGTCATGAATTAAAAAAACAAAAAGAGAAGTCACGTGTCTGATTCGACACTCGCGCTGTGCCAATATTATAAACCTGTTTACTTCTGTCTGAGTGTGCAATATTTTAGTTCATATCAGTGTTCGGCAATGTTGTCTCTAACTTGATTTTCTTTACAAGGATTAGCTCACAGAGATGTTTTGTTATTTTTTGCACAGATATGTTCTATGATATGACAAATACAGCATTTCTGTAAGTTCCTTTACCTTATACTTACTAGAAAAGAGTTGAAGTAAGCTAATGAGCAAGATCGTATTCATTAAGATAGATCCAGTGCCCCGTAAACAACTTTGCTCATTTCTCTCCATCACTGCATATTGAAGAAACATATCAGCTCATTTAATGACCTGTCGATAGTGTAAATACTCTGATGTAAATCTGAAACTGAGTGAGGGATAAATTTGATTTGTTGTCGATTGGTAGAACATAGCTGAAATTAACTTGTTGATAATCTTGCTCTGTGATTTCCCACCTCATGGACCTTGCATAGCTGCTACGCCTCGTTTCAGGCACCATACCTCATCGGAGACCTGGGAGCGAGCCGCCACATGTTTTGATTGCCACTTCATTGTGAGCTCTCCCAGGAAGGAGGAAAATTTTACCTCAGTTATGGGCAAATGAGCTAGTTTGTCCCCAACACAAACCACTGAGTCTCACTAAGGTGAAGCCATTAAGTATGCACTATGAGAAATTATTCTTGAATGGTGGTGCTGTAACAAAAAGGGACTTATTATGATACTTTGCTAATGATTCGTTCACCTACAATTAGGCCTGCATGGAATATCCAGAGATTTCCACCAAATCCAAATGCCCATCATTGAGTTTTTTACATATCCCCTGTCATATTTGGCTAATTTGATCATGCTAAAAGTGTGACTCTATATATAATTAATTTAAAATCCATTCAACAAATTGTCCCCCTCAATTAGTGCAAAATTTGTAAATAAATGTATGTGGGCCTAAAGTGATAGTTCACCCAAAAATGAAAATTATCATTATTTACTCACTCTCATGTCGTTCCAAATGACACTCATACGACATTTTCCTCTGTGGAACACACGCACAAATACTTTGAAAAAAAAAGAGGGTTTTTTTGTCCATACAATGAATATAATGTGACTTTGGACCCCATTGACTTTCATTGTATTAACAAAAATATTGATATTCACAGAAGAAAGTCTTGCAGGTTTGGAACGACATGAGGATGAATAAATGATGACAGTTTGTTTTTTTGGGTGAACTATCCTATTAAGTTGTTTTCTGTTAATAGAACAAACAAAGAAAAGAAAGCAGATCAGCTAGGCCTACAAGATCCAAACATAGGCTGTTCTGTCTTATAGACACACTGCAACAAGGCTCCTCATGAGATGATGTTTGTGGAGATATTGATCGGCTTCTGGGGTCAAGCTGACCTTTCAGAGCTCTTGGCTTCATCACCGCAGGCTTTCAGAACATGGCTTCCAGCTCTACCTATTCAGCCTTCCCCTGCACACTGCCATTGTACCGCGAAACATAACACACTGTGTGGCCATCGAAACTCTTATATTTCTCTGGCTTTTTCTTTCCATTTTCTTGACGTGTTTTATTAGGCACAGAGCACTGCGGTCCTTTATGGCCTCGTGTGAGAGCAGTATTTTATAAGCAGTAAAAGATTTGTAAAGTTCAAGTGAGACATTTACCATTTATACCGCTGTGAGATTTTGAAGAGTTGATTGAACTGGTGTTTTACACATTGCTGAAGCATATTCTAATGACAGATAATCTCACTGATAAGGATGATGATTTTGATTAGTTAAGAGAGAAACCTGGTCTTTGAGAGTCTTTGTGTTTCTGCTATAACAATGTTGATACTTCTTATTTTGGGGGTATTTTAATGCAAAATGTATTCTTCATGCTCACCTACTTCCTGATTTTTTCACAAACTTTAGCATTTTATTTGGGATCTTATTGATTTAATTTGTTTTGTTTTTTTATCATACAGGAGAGATGTGGTTGAAATTTTACTGGAAAATACATTCAATCAATAATGAATAAAACTTTTCTAACCACAATCATCAAGAGTCTGGGCTTTTCAACAATGGGAAATAAATTACATTTTATCCATATATTTTTAGTCGTACATAGGCTACTTGTGCATTAGGTGTGAATTTTTTTTTAATGTATTCAAATTAGAAAAATATTTATTGCTTTTTTATATAAATAATGATTGCTTAAAAGCAGGGTGATTAAGTGGCCATCTCTGAAAGATTGGTGTTTAATGTATTTCCCACTGATCTCTAGGCTTGACTCACTGTAGAGTATTTTAATTACCTACAGGTGCATTCCACTCATAATCACTGATGTTTAACCAGTTGGCACATGTTGCCTCAAACCTATTCATTTTAGGAATTATTAATTCTGTAATCTTTGTCAATTTGAGCGAGCTCCCCTGCAGAAATAACGGAAGGAGTTAATTGGGATTCCTCATGGCTCTCATTATGGAGATGTTAACAAAATATGGAACAAAGAAACAGGTGTTTTTCCCCTCATTTTTAGTTTGGTGTGATGCCATACATCGCATTTGAAGTCTCATCAAGGCATCCTACAGAAATCTAAATTGTAGTACAGCTGCATTATCGAGCAGATGATAAATCTGGCATGAAGTAAAAAATAACCAAGTGTAGCCAATATTTTTCACAAACATATAGGCCTATGTGCTGAAACTTCAATGATCACCCATGTCTGTTTCAGTTCCTTCAGGATCCCTCAGCCACACTTAGAGATGTGTAGTAATAACTGGACAACATTAGTAATAACGTACTCGGTTACTAACGTAACCTCGGTTCTCTCTAGAGAGGGAACGAGTACTGCGTAATAGCTTTACGCTAGGGGAAAAACTCTTTTCCGCGAGATATTGAAGCCAAAAATTATCCTTTAATTTTTTATTAATGCAAAACGCTTTGCAGCAGCAAGCAAACATAGGCGAAACAGCTCGCGCGCCTATTGGTTGCTCTGCAGCAAATGCAGCAGCCTATCGAGAGAGACTCTGCGTGACGTAATGACCAATGGGGGCAATTCGCGCCCATATCGTCACGTCCCGCCAGAAGGGGCGTGGTCTCGCCCTATAAATATGCTCGTTAGGCTGATACAAGCTGGTTTTTATCGCTGAAGCGAACCAGAGCGTATTCCACGCACGGCAAGATACGCAGTACTCGTTCCCTCTCTAGAGAAAACCGAGGTTACGTTAGTAACCGAGTACGTTCTCTTACGAGAGTATCTCTCGTACTGCGTAATAGCTTTACGCTAGGGGAACACAATGCAACACGCCGTGCGTAAAGGGATCCAACACCAAAGTCCCAGGGGTCGAAGCCCAGGGCTCATGTAGTGCATAATCACCATAAACTCACATAGAGTAAAGGAAGAGAGGCTGGAAGCGTCATTCCCTATAAAAAAGCACCCAGCGGGGCTATTATATGACCATCAAACGCGCAGCCAGGGTGAAAGGATTCAGCCTGATCTGGGCGGCCATACGTGAGTCAACACTCATGGGGCTGCAGTAAACTCAGCATCTGGGCCGCAGAGCGGGGCAGATAGCACTGAATTTAGACCGCCAAAAGCTTAGCTTGTAAGGCGGGTACCTCCAGGTTATAGTATTTTATAAATGTAGACGGCGAGGCCCAGCCCGCGGCCGTACAGATATCTTGCAGGGAAACCCCGCTAGACCATGCCCACGAAGAGGCCACGCCTCTCGTGGAATGCGCCCTGACACCCAAGGGGCACTGTAAGCCCTTCGCAGAGTAAGCGAGCGCGATGGCATCCACTATCCATCTGGATAGGCTCTGTTTTGAGGCGGCGAATCCCTTGGAACGCCCGCCGAACAAAACAAAAAGCTGCTCCGTCTGTCTGAAAACAGACGAGCGTGCCACATAAGCTCTCAATGCCCTGACGGGGCAGAGGAGACTTGCATCCTCCTCCTCACTGAGAACCGGAAGGGCAGACAGGGAAATGACCTGGGCCCTGAACGGCGTGTTGAGGGATTTCGGGACATACCCGTGTTTCGGTTTGAGAATGACCTTTGAGTCATTAGGCCCAAACTCCATACACGACGCGCTTACTGAAAGCGCCTGTAGGTCCCCTATGCGCTTCACTGAAGCGAGAGCCATGAGAAACACTGTCTTGAACGACAGGTGTTTCATGTCCACCAGCTGGATTGGCTCGAACGGGGCGCCTTTCATGGCCTCCAAGACCGTGGAAAGGTCCCACGTCGGGACTGAAGGGGGCCTTGGAGGGTTCAGCCTCCGAGCTCCCCTAAGGAAACGCACGACTAAGTCGTTTTTCCCAAGCGACTGGCCAGACACCGGTTTTGCAAACGTTGCTATGGCCGCCACATATACTTTGAGCGTGGATGGGGTCCTGCCCTTATCCAGTAGCTCTTGAAGGAAGGAAAGCACTTCCGCAACCCCGCACTCCACAGGTGAAAGGCTCTGGGCCTGACACCATGTAGAGAAAACAGACCATTTCGAGGAGTAGAGCCGCCTGGTAGACGGAGCTCTAGCCTGCGCGATCGTGTTTAACACTCCCTCTGGGAGGCTAGCGGGTACCCGTTGATGGCCCATGCGTGCAGGGACCATAACTCCGGGCGAGGGTGCCAGATTGAGCCCTCCGCCTGAGAGAGGAGGTCTCTCCTCAATGGTACAGGCCATGGGGCAGTGCTGGTCAGCTGCATCAGGGCAGGGAACCACGTCTGGTTCGTCCAGAGCGGGGCTACAAGCAGCACTGGGCATCCGTTTTCCCTGATTCGTTCCAACACCTGAGGCAGGAGCGAGACAGGAGGAAAAGCATACAGGGGGCAGCGGGGCCAAACATGAGCCAGCGCGTCCTTGCTTTTCGAGAAAAACTCCGGGCAATGAGCGTTTTCTTGGGACGCGAATAGGTCC